TCTCTGTGAGGCTGGGCAGGGCTCTGGCAACTACCATTGGCTGAGGACTAGCCTGCCCTGTTCCATCCAGTCTGTCGGCAGGGCTCAGGGTGGTGAATCTCCAGGTGGCACTTTGAGGGCAGGACCCAGAGCTGTTGCTCCTGGTCCTGTAGACTGGAGGGTGGAAGGAGCCAGCGAGGAGAGAGGATAGGGCAGCAGGGAATGGGACCTCTATCAGGACTGGGCAGGGGCCCCGGGGGATGAGAGGCAGAGTGGGGCGGGGAGTCACTGAAGGGAACGAGATTAAGGCCGGGGTGGGGGGTGGGGGGGCTCTGCGCGGGACCTCTGTGAGGGGCCAGGGGCTCCACGAGGGCGCATGGTTTGGCTGAGGTTGCTGAAGAGTTTCTCTGGGCTTTCTCTGCCCTTCTCCAGGTCTCCGAGATGGTGTTTGGGGTGGGGCTACCTGCGCACCTTGAGCCCAATTGCTGACCCGGGGTAGGCTGAGAGCCAGGAGCTTCTTTCCATGTCTTCCCAGAGCCGGAAAGGTTATCAGGGCAGCTCTGAGTACTGGGATTTGCCTCTCCTCCTTCTGCCTGTCTCCCTCCCTGAGTCCCATGGGGATTTGTGACTCAGGACAACCCAGGTTGAGAGGGTGGTGCTGTAGGAGGAGTCAGCATCAGGCAGAGCCATCTCACCTGGGAAGGAGCTGGCTGGGAAGAGGCTGAGCTTCCCATCCCTGGGAATGTGCAAGCAGGAGTTGAATGACTAGTCAGAGCGAATTCAGAAAGGGGTTCGGGCAGGACCGGGGAGAGAAGGCAGTCTGGAAGCCTCTTTCCTGGGTCAGTTGCACTCTGTGATTGGCCCAGATGGCCCCGCCTTCTAATTATCCTTGAGCCCCACAGAGGAGGTTGCCCCACACTGGGCTTTGCCTTGCCCGAACAGTGCCTCCTCCTCCTGCTTTCTGTTCCCAGCCCCATGCTGGGCATGGGCAGATGGAGCTGAATCAGACCCAGCTCTGCCTAGAGGAGCCCCAGTCTGATGGAGGAGGGACACAGGCAAACATATATAGAGTTAAGTCCCACAAAGGGAGGCATATCAGGCTGAGAGGAAGGTTCTTTCACTGATTTCTGAATGTGTTTTTGAGCAATTCTTCTAGGTCAAGACTTCTAGAGCTGGGGATATGGCAATAAGCAAAACAGAGAAAAAGTCCTGTGCCGTGGAGCTGACAGCATAGCAGGAAGACTGCGCGCTCCAGAGTGACAAGATGTGCTGGAGGCATTTGAGTGTGGCCAGAAGGCAGTGTGGGTGCAGCTGGGGGTGGTGCGGCCTTGCCCAGGCTTACAGGCCTAGAGGACTTTCTGCCTGGGACCAGGGCTCCCGCTGTGTCCTGTGGGCATCTAGGAGCCACATGAGCGGGAGAGAGGGAGAGGCAGAGCTGGATGTGAAGAGACAGCTCCAGAAGGGACATTAAAAGGAGCAGGAAGAGGCACTGAAGCCACGTGCCCACCTGTGCCCACGAGTCGGAGGCATGGGGGTCTGTGTAGGGGTGTGTACCTGTGTAGAGGGCTGTGGTGTGTGTGTGTGTGTGTGTGTGTGTGTATGCGCACACACACGCAGGGGTTCTGGGAATGGGTGTGTCTGTGTCTGCAGAAAGATTCTGGTAGTATGTAGGGTATGTATGCACATGCACGTGTGCATGTATGTGACTGTGTGGGGTCACACACAGTCACAGGCCAGCTTTGCACAGAGAAAGAAGGATCTTGAGGTTTGTGGATGATGAAGAGCAGATACTTAGGCCCAAGGTATGCCAAGCCCTGAGTCCCTTGGATGTGAGCTGGCAGGTCCTGGATAGAATGCTATGATTTTCTTTCCCCAACGGGTATGGAGCTGGCCATCTGCTGTTTGCAAATGACCTGGAAATGGATGAGGCTTCTGGCTGACCTGCCCCATGTCCCCTCATCCCTAGGCCTCCGTTTATTTGGCCTGGGCTCTTCTTGACTTGGAGTTGCTGCCAGGACACATGGACTGGGACCTGGACTAATGGCCATGGGTAGTACTTCTGTCAACTATGAACTCAACCGCACACACATAAACACTTGCACACACACACATAAATGCATACACACAACTGCACGCAGATACATGCATATGCAAATACACACTTGTACTTACACAAGGCACATACCTTTATGCACACACACACACACATTCCTATAGATACACATGCATATCTGTGCACACAGAGACAGTGGAAATCACACAGCTTCACAAAGATACAAACCAGCCCACTGTATTTATACCCTATCTTTGCATGCATCATGCTCACAAAGCCTTACACATGTACATGCACACACACATACACACAGCTGCTTAAGAATGGCTTGCCCTACCCGAGTGCACAGCCATGCCACTCCAGGGCTAAAGTGCTGAGGACAAGGTCTAGAGGGAACCAGACCCTGCAGAGATGACAGCTTTTCCAGGAAGCTCCTAAGACTGTTTCTCTGCAGAGCCCCTAAAGAGGATGGTGGGGCCTTCTTTTAAGTCCATGGGCTTCACCCAGGTCTTGAAGAGACAGAGTCAAAAACTCTCTCCTGAGAAGCTTCCCTGGTTGGAATAGTCCTTGCTCATAGTCCTTGGCCTGACATGCCTGGCTGGCCCTGCCAGTCCAGGAGAGCTGCCTTCTGCCCAGTGAGGCCTGGATCCTGCCTTCTTTCACCTCAGCTGTCTGAGCTCTCAAGAGAACTGGGCCAACTTCATAGCTCTGAGAATTCCAAGGCTGGAGAAGGCCAGAGCCTTGCTTGAGGTTACCCAGGGAGTGGTTCAAGTTTGAACCTGGCCATCTGTGGATCTGACCATGATCAGTTGCAGGGTAATGAATGTCAGGAGTCAGATAGGCTCACAGAAGCAGGACACATGGTCATGGGGCATGGGAACAGATTTGGGATCTGTTGAGGGCCTGCCAGTACTTGTGGGAGATGGAGAGATGTTGACATGGAAACCATCCTTTTATTTAACCAGGCTTCCTGGGCACCAGTGATCTCACCCTGGATTGGCCTGTGGGGATACAGTGAAAGATCAGATAGTCACTCCCTTGAGGGGGCACTGGGGATGTGTGAGGAAGGGAGAGGGCAGTGTCCACTGGGGAGACCATGCTGGGGCTACTTCTCAACCAATGACAGTGTCCCTCCTGTGTCTCACAAGAGCTGACTTGTTAACTTCTATATCCTCAATAATTGGCCTGGAGCAAATTCTCAGTAGGTATTTGTGGCACGAATGAATGCACAGATATATGATACTGACAGGCAGATATGCCCTGGGAAAGGTGTTCAGCACAGGAGCAGAACAGGTTGAGCAAAAGTGAGGAGGTGGAAGAAAAGCCAGAAGTTCAGGGTACAGTGAGGAGTTGGGCACTGCTGATGGTAGGAAGGAAGGGGCAGGAGAAACAGCAGAAAAGCCATCTGGGGTGAGCCTTGGGTATCATGCTGAGGGTTTAGATGTCACCTTAGAGGTTGTGGGGAGCCCAGCGAAGGCTATGAGCGGGAGACAGCCACAGCCAAAGTGGTACCCCCATTCCAGATATTTTTTAATGTTCCCAGATGATTCTAACTTGCTGCTTTATTTGATGTATCTCATCCTTGGCTGACAAGGGTGGGGGTTCCAGGCATCAGCATTTAAAAATGCTTCCAGGAGATCCCAACATGAACAGGGTGGGGACCAGCATAGGATGGCCAGATGCAGAGTTTGGATGAGAGTAGGGATCTGTTGGGGACTGGAGGAGTCCCAGCCCACAAGAAGGGGCCACTTCCTAGCTGTGAGAGCTTGGCAAGGCCCCCCACCTTGCAAACTGGAGGAGCTTGGTTGCCACCCCTGGAAAGGGGCTCGTTGGGGAATTTCAGCGATTTTCTGAGAGGACATTTGTGAAAGGGTTCTGCATCCTACCAAGCAAATTAAAAGAAATAAGTTGCTTGTTTATTGAATGTGCTAACCTTTCACAGATGGGGAAGTTGATGCCCAGAGAAGTAGAGAGGCCTGCCCAGAATCGCGTAGCAAAAACTACGACAGAGTTAGGACTCAAACCATGTGAGGAATCCTTCAATCTGAAAAATTGACACAGAAAGAATCTCTCTGAGTTGAGAGACATAGAGCATGCACCTGGGACTCCAGCCATTGAACTGCAGTATGAGAGACTCAAGTAAGATTTAAGAAATAACTTCTCAAGAAGTGAAGGGCGTTTTTCTTAGTTACTTTTCTCATTGCTGAGACAGAATACCCAACACCCAAAATTAAAGGAGGAAAGTCTGTTTAGCTCACAGTCTGTAGAGGTTTCAGTCCATAATTGGCTGGCTCCAAGGCAGAGTGGCATGACAAAGGGGCATTGCAGAGAAGAAACAGTTCATGGTGGGCAGAAGGTAGCAAAGCAACAAAGTAGTGAAGAAGCAAGTCCAAGAGATCCTAGCAACTTCTTTCTGTGTCTTGTATATTTGATCTAGGCTCTTGGGTTTAGGGTGGGTGCCAAACCAATCAGTGGGCTGATTCAGTTATCACACACACCCTTAATCCCAGCATCACACACTCTAGGTCCAGCCACCTCTGATAAAACCCCCACCTATCACTGCATGAGACTTTGGAGGGGGGCATCTAGACACAAGCCATCGTATCTGTGGAGGCCCTGCCTAGAGTTGGGAGCACATAAGATGGTGGCTGTGCCAGGCCAGGGTTGGCTCTTGGCTGCAGGGCCCAGGTAGCCCCTCCTACAGAACATGTAGCTCTAGGTAGTGACCATAATAGATACTTCCTGGGCACTTGTATCCTCCAAGGCTATCCAAAGCTTGTGACATGTGCTTGGGATTTACTGAGAGATTTATACCCTGAGCTGGGGCTTAGAATTAGTCTTTACAGTAGCCCTTATACTGGTCATCCCCTTTTATAGAGAAGGAGACTGCAGCCTAACAAAGGAGGGGAGGGCTTTTTGAGGCCAGAGTCTTTATTCTTTTTTTTTTTTTTTGGTACCAGGGATCGAACTCAGGTCCTTGTGCTTGCGCAGCAGGTGGCAAAACCACTGAGCTAAATCCCTGGCCAAGGCCAGAGTCTTTACATATCTTTGCCCACGTAATGTTCTCAACTGTATTAGTAAATAAGATGATTTGCCCTATTTTGAAGATGCTATGAAATTCATTGAATTAGCTCAAATCACTTAGTCCCCACCTCTCCCAAAGCCCCCAGATGTGGTTTCCAGGAAGGACACGAAAAAGGCTATAACTAAGGCAGTGTCAGGGAAGCTTCCTGGGAAGGTGGGCCTCTAGCTGGCTCTGAAATGATGAGCAGGCTGGAAGGATGCAGAGGGCATCTGGATTGGGTAGCATGGGCAGAGGCCCAAAGTGAGGATGCGCCACCATGTGGGGGTGGGTCAGAACTGGAATCAACAAGTCAGGGTTGAGTTGTGGAAGACAGGCATGTCTTTATTGTGTTGAGGGTAGGGAGTCACTGAAGGTATTTGAAAGAAAAGTGAGAATTCTAGCATGGGCTAGAGGGACAGCCAGGACTCTGCCAAGCCTGTGCCAGGTGCCTGGACTGTGTCCAGCTCGGTGACTCAATGCTGAGGAAATTGCTCCCCGGAGGGAAAAGACCCAGATGAATCACCGAGAGAGGTGGGGAGGCTGGGAGGCTGGGGGCTCTCTGAGTCACCCTCCAAAGGTTGGGGAGAGGGAGTTGTAGAGAGGGGCCTGCAGTGCACCGGGTAGGATTCGGGTCAGACCACAGGGAGGGCTGTCAGGCAAGTCATTCTGGGTTTGGGGCTCGTGGCAGTCCTGTGAGGGAGATGGAGAAACTGAGGCTCAGAAAGGTGGGGAGAGTGTCTGACTAAGGTCATGTAACAAGACGTTGGCGAAAGCCAGGTGAGACCTTCCAGTCCGGACAAGTCCCTTGCCACTGCCTCAGTCGTTTTCATGGCAACTGGACTGCAGCAGGCGGGGAGTTGACCGTACACCAACTCCTCTGCCATCCCCACCCACCTCTAGCCCTTCAGGCCGGGCAACTGAGGCCGGGATGCACAGCCGCGATGGGACACCAGAGGGCGCAGAAGCGTTACGGCTGCCGCAGGGGCCTGAGCAGAGGCCGCTCTGCGGAGAAATGCGCTCCGGACGCGTGGGTCCCATCGCGGAACTGCGGACTGCGTGACCCTGGGGCTTGCACCCTCTCCAGCCTCCCCGGACGCCGCCACAGCCCTGCCTGCCAGTCCTGAGGGCCCAGTGCTCCCATCCCGCACTTAGTATTGGTGCGCCCTTGTGTGTCCGTACGCACGTGTCTCCCTCACAGATTTGCCACTGCCCCAGGGCTCGTCCGCCTTGGAGAGACCTCTAAATTTCTCCCTGACTTCTCCGTCCTTCTCCCTCCATAGGAGGGAGCGGAGCAAGCCCGGAGCTCCTGTGCAGTGTCTGCAGCCCCTTCCGTCTTCATCCTCCCCCTCTCTCCACTGCGCTGATCTCGATCTCTGGCCTGACCCCAGGGCTCAAAGTGGAAGGGAGAGGATGTGGAGACAGGGCGCGGGCTCAGAGCTGCGACCCCTGCGCAATGGTGAAAGGAATGGCGTTGGGGGAAGGGAAGGGGAGCGGAGGTGAGAGCCGGCTCCCGGCGGGGTTCCCACAGTGCACTGGCTGGGAGATGTGGCGAGGGGAGGCAGACAGCAGGGATCTGGCGAGGGTCTGGCGGGATCCGGAGATCCGACGGCCGGGAGGTGCTGTCCGCGGCGCTGGAAAGTGGGCGGGGCCGGGGCGGGGCCGGGGCGGGCGGGGGCGGGGCCGGGCGGACACTCGGACGGGCGAAGCTGTCGCGGACGCGCTGACCGAGCTCCGCGGGCCGGGCCGGCGGCGGGAGGGCGGCTGCGAGCATGGTCTTGGTGCTGCACCACATCCTCATCGCTGTTGTCCAATTCCTCAGGCGGGGCCAGCAAGTCTTCCTCAAGCCGGACGAGCCTCCGCCACCGCCGCCGCCGCAGCCATGCGCCGACAACCTCCAGGTAGGGGGCCCCCGGTTTTGGGCACAGGGAGAACTGGGTGTCCCGAGACCGCCCAGCTGGGGACAGGTCGCCAGCTCCAAAGTCTACCTTCCCTGAACTCCCTGAACCCTCCTCAGGGAGGGGGGCCCCTCCCGAGTTCTGAAGCCCACTCTTGCGCTGGGACTGCAGCCTGTACCCTGAGGGAGCCCTTGAACCCCTAGCTCACAGTGCAAATGCCAGCCTCGACTCTGAATAACGTTCGGAGCAGGGACCTTGCTGTAAGCACTGAGCTCCCAATCCCGGGTGGACCCCCAGGCCACTCTTCGAGCTCTGTTCAAGGCTGGAATCCCCTCCCCCAGAGGAGTGGAGGACCCCTACACACACTTCTGAACCTCCACTGTACATACCGGTGCACCGAGACCACCTGAACCCCTAGCTTGCACGACCCCACCCCAGAGCTGGGGCCTCAGCCCAAGACCATGAACCTCCACAGGCTCAGCTGCACCCCCATCCAGATTCCCACTGAAACACCAGACCCCAGTCCTCCTTCCAGGCCATACCCCAGGTCAGAACCCCTCATCCCACCCAGGCTTCCCTCTCCCCCTCTGCAGGACTCCTGTGCCAGGTTCCTCCCCTCTCCCCTTTAGAGGGGACACTCTAGTCTTTTCCTGCTGACCTCCCCTTCCTTTCTCTGGACAAATGTGGTGCTCCCACTTTAGTTTCCAGGTCTCTCTCCAACTCTCCCCCCCTCACTCTCTCTCTCTCTCTCTCTCTCTCTCTCTCTCTCCTTCTGCCTCTTTCTTGTGTTTGGTCTTTTGCCCAGCATACCCACCTCTCTTGGCCTGTTTGTCTCTCCAATTCCTCTGGGTCTCTATCTTTGTTCTAGGGTCTCTTTCTGGGATCATCTCTTCCCCTTATGTGTGCCTCTGCTTTGGGATGAGGAGGGCACAGGTTCAGAGGGCAGGACAGGGCCAGTGTCTCCAGGCCCTCCATCCCTCCCTGTGTTCTCTGGCATGAATGGCATGGTATGGGCTTGAATATGGAGTATGCTGCCCTTGGCTGGTACCTGGGAAACTGAGGCAGGTGGTGCCCACATGGTGGGGCATTGGCATTCATAACTTATTACCCCATTGTTCCTGCTTTCCTGGTCTTGACTGAGGCAGCTGGAGGTTTGGGGTGAGGGAGAGGAATAGATGGCAAGCTGAGGTCAGTCACCTGAGGGGAGAGCTGTCCAGGGCTGTGTGAGTCTGGAGTGTGTGTGTTTGTGTGTAGCTTGATCTGGGCTGGATGTGTTGGGTGTGCCGTGTGTGAAAATGTGTGTTGTGCCATTGATGATTATATCATGGTGAGTGTGGGGATTGTGCATTTATGTCATTGCATGCCATGTGTGGCTAGGGAGGCAGTGTTGTGGATGTGGAGTGGTAGCAGGGTGTGTGACTGTTGTGTATATGTGGCTGTGTGTGTCTGTTACTGCAGGATGGAGTTGTTGCAGGAGCAGTGTGCATGGGGGATCGTGTACGTGGTTGTGTATGTGTTGTGGCTGTTGTATGTAGCCAGGAAGACCTGTGGTGGGGACCTGATGAATTTTACTGGATGTTTTGTCAGAGAGGAGCTGGGAGGTGGTGATTGTGCTTCCGAGTATGTTTGTGGCCTAGTGATGGGTTAGAATCATTGTGATACATCCTGAGTTTGTTGCTTGGGGAATGTATTAGGACCTGTGTGCTGGTGTTTGAGTGTCATGTGTCTGTGTGGTGGTTGTGCAACTCTGGACAGGAAAGGGTGCAACCAGGGCTGAGGAGTCTGGCTGACCAACTGTGTGGGTAAGAGGAAGCTGTGTGCAGGCAGGGTTGTCTGCGCTGAGGGGCTTTGTGTGCCCACAAACATGCGATGTGCTAGGTGAGCACATTATCTATGCAGGGTGTGTCTGCATGTGTCTCTGTCTGGGTGGCGTGTGTGTTGAATTTAATTGGATGCATGTGCCTGTGATTGGGGAGGTGTGAGGTGTGTGAGATGCATGGTGGGAGATTGAGTGTGAGTGTGATGTGAAGTGTGGGTGTGTGAGGCTTGTGACTTTTCAGCGTGAGGTGTGGCTTCTGTGATCTTTTCTCCTCGTGAGCTGTTTGTGTATGTGATGAGGAGTGCGTCCAGGGAGCTGGGGGTGGCAAGCCATAGAACATGCTGGTGGGGATAAGGGAGTGTGTGCAGATAGTGTGTGGTGTGAGGAATGACGTATCTTATGTTTGGGGTGTGGGTGGGAAGACAGCAGGTACCCCGTAAGTGTTTGTGGAGTGACGCGTGTGTGCAGGGAGGGTGCCATCCTGTTCTTGCTTCCCTCCCAATAGGGTCCCTAGAGATGATGCCCTTGCCTGTCCCCCAGCAGGGCTGCCCCTACCCTTTGCCCTTTATCCTCCTCACTCTGACCAAAGCCTTTGTTCTGGGTTTCCTGCTGAGCAGGCGCTGGACAGGCGGGCGACAGACAATGTCGTAGTCCAGGAACATTTGTTCTTTGCTTCTTAGCCTGTTTTGTGTTTGGGCCAGGGTTTGGAGAGGGCAGGGAAGGGAGGCACGTGTCAGCAAGGTCACAGTGTGGTCACAGAGAAGGGAGGGTCCAGTGCAGGCAGTGAGGCTGGGCTTCGACTTGGCTAAGCCTACCAACCCCACACTCTTCATCCCAGGGTAGCCCAGGGCCTTTTCTTGCTCATATCTACTCAGGGGTGCTGAGCAGCCAAGTGCCCTCTTTTCTATGCTCCCTTCTCTTCTTCCCTTCTTTGTGTAGCTGTGGCCCCCAGGGAGGTTCACTGGGCTGGGAGACAACCAGGAAGATCTCAGTCTAGCTCTACTTTTCTTGACTCCCCATCTAATGGAGGGAAAATAGTCCCTGGCCTCACAGAGATCCTTTTCTGAAAGAGGAAACTTGGTCATACCTCTGGGACCCCATGGTCTGATGAGGAGATCCCAGGTAGTTGAGGATCCAGGCCACACCCTCCAGAGGAAGGTGGGAAATATGAGAAAACCCTCCTGGGCAGCCTCCCAACTGGTATTTGAGAGCATAAGTCCAATACTCCTTGGGATTGGAGGCACAGGGACAGGCAGAGTTGCTCAGGGCAAGGTGGTGGGGCCCATGGTTCAGTGTCACCTTCTGGAAGGTGAGCTGAGCCTTAAAGGGTGCTGGGGAATAATATAGCCTGGGGCTGAGAAAGATTCTGGCTAATGGGCAAAAGGGATCTTGATACCAAGTAGCACACTCTGAGTTTGGATGGCCATCCCAGAGCCACCATCCTGTTCAAGCTTTCATGTCACCTTTTCTCATCTACGGTCTTTGACCAGACCATCCATTGTCATCGTGATTATCGACATCATCATTACCATTAACATCATCATCATCACCATTACCACCACCACCACCACCACCACCACCACCACCACCACCACCACCATCATCATCATCATCATCATCATCATCATCATCATCATCACCATCTTTTAGGCAGTTCTTTCCAAGTTCTAAGGTCCTTTCACAAATGTCTCATTTAACTCATGCAATTGTCTAAAAGCATTTTGGAGCCCCCACTCTGCCAAACAGGCACAGTTCTAAGAACCCAGGTCATAGCTGTGACCAAATTGATTCTATGGAGCCCCCACCCTCTATGCACAGCCACACTGTCTGCCTGCACTCCAGGCCTAAGGCAGCTGGCCTCTTCCTCCCATGTTTCCCCCAGCCTAACCTTACCTGATTCTGTGGGGCTCTCATGTGTGCACCACTGGGGACTGGCTCCTGCCAGGTTGGCAGCTCTTAGAGGCTAAGCCTGGGTCTCCCTGTCCCCCTTGCTTGTGTGCTGAGTTGAGCTTGCCATAGGCCAGAGAGTCCTATCTGTCATTAGATGTCCATAATTGCTCTGTAGCACTGGCAGCCCAATGGCTACCATCTAGGGAAACTAAAGTCCAGTACAGGGCAGGAATTTAAGGCAGCATCCTCATCAGAACCTCCTTATGCCTGCATTCTGAGACCAAGAGAGGTCAGGTGACTGGTCCAGGTCTCACAGCAAGGTGCCAGGGGTGATGCCATTACCCGGCTGGCCTGGCCGCTAGGCTGGGCTCTGGCCCCAGCACCATGCTGCTCCCTGGCTGGCCTTCATGCTGCCTGTGGCGGGTAAATGATTATTAATGACCCCCCTGGCAAAGAGACAGGAAACGCTTCCCAGCCACAGCTGGGGAGCTGCTCCCTGCCAGCCCTAGCCATCCATAGTAGCCCTGACCATGGTGTCAGCACTGATGTTATCTCCATTTCGCCTCAGCCTTCTTTGCTCCTTCTGCTCATCTACCTCCCACCTCCCTGATCCCAACCTCCCAGGGAAAGGACAAGAATAGACAGAGCTTTCTTTTCCACATTCCTGCCCCTCGCCACTTTCTCTAGCCTGACTCATCTCTACTTTCTTCCTTACCCCAAACAAGCTGGAAGTAGCCTTTCTTCTCAGAAACCTTCCCTGGATGCATGGCCAGTCCCTCTGGGAGATGCTATCCTGGGCCCAGGAGGCAATGAGTCTTCCTCATTGCAGACCCTGTTCTCCCTCTGATGGCTTGCTCTGGTGGCCTAGGGCTGGACTGGGTACTTTCTGCAGCTTGTCCCCAACTGTTGATCAGTGGAGGATCCAGCCCAGCCCCGGTATTCATGCCTCCTCTGAGCATCCTGCCCTGCCTGTCCACATCACATGCCATTTAGTGTCAGACTTTCACAGGTGGGCATTAGTAAGCAATGGCTACGTGGGTAGGATGAGCAAGACTTTCTCCACAAGTCTGAGCAATACTACTTGGCCCTATGGCAAGTAGCTCAGTCCTAGGTCCCCAGGGCTGAGATGGGGAAGGAGCATAGATGAACGGCAATGGTGGAGATCAACTCAGGGTTCATGGTGGGACAGAGCTGGGGTCCCTAATTTAGCCCAGAGTGGGAGAGAAGGTTAAGAAGGGAAGCTTCTGGAAGAAACAAATCTGAGAGCTAAGGGATGAGCCAGGAGAAAGTTCTGGACAGAGAGGAGGGGAGAGAGTGACTCTGATGGTTTGTTGGTGGCCGAGCAAGCAGAGCTGCATTCCCTGGTTGCACAGTTCTGTGCACGGAACTGGACCCTGCACTGTGAGGCAGCTAAGTTGGTGGGATTCTGCATGGGGTAGGGGAAGAGTGAAGTACAGAGAGACAAGAGACGTGGCTGGTGAGGCTGGCACAGGCCAAATTGTGCAGGACTTAGGAGCCATATTAAGGACTTTGGACATTTTCCAAAGGGAACTGGCACTAAGGGAGAGATAAAAAGAAGAGATGTGATGCTCAGGCCTGTGTGTGAGGGAGCTCCCTGGGGCATAGGATGAGAATAAGGCTGGGGTCCAGACAGGAAAAGGGCTGAGGGGGGAGGGGAGGGGACTGAACAGGGAGAGGTAGAAGTGGGAGAGGGTCAGCTGCAGAGCTGAAGGTGAGGGGGGAGAAAGCCACTGCTTCGCTGCTTTGGGTGTCTGAGAATGAGGATGGAAGACTGTGTATAAGGGCAAAGACTGGGCCTGTCCCTAAAGGGACCCTGTCTCAGGAAGGCCTCCCAGGAGGTCATGAGCGTTGAGGCTAAACAGAGACCCAGAGAGCTGGACCCTGCTCTGGGCTATGTCTTCACCTATATACCATGGCGAACTCAACATCTGCCCTGGGCCAAGAATGTTCTGAAATAAAAAGTTGAAACAATCTGTGAAATGTAATACTTAATAAAATTCAAATCTAAAAATGTAGGAGAACATTCCAAAATGAGGAGAAATGTAAATTTGTGAAAATGCTAAACATACGCGATCCTTCTAATGTAAATTGTCAGTCTCAGCTGCTTCCCTGGACTTTGGAACCAGCTCTATTGGAGCCACTGCCTCTGATGTGGTGGCCCTGGGGGCTGAGGCCTTCCTTCCTGTTCAGCTCCTTGGAGAGGAGCTGTCAGGGCCCCTCCTCTGAGGAGCCTGCCCTCCCCCTCCAGCTGGTGGCTTCAGTGGGCAGGCATTTGCTTGAGGGAATTGGTCCTGGGCACCCCCATCCACGGTTGCCTCTATTTGGGGGCACCAAGGACAGGGTGGGGAAAGCAGGATGAGGGAGGGCAGGAGAGGAGAGGAGGGAGAGGGAAGCTTGGGAGCTGAAAGGGGAAGTAAGCAAGCTGAGGAGCAGCATCACCCCTATACAAACACCAGAATTTCAGAATTTGAAAGTTGCTCATTTCCTGGAACGCAGGCATTCTGAGGTCTGATCTTGCAATCTCCAGGTTGAGCACTGCTGGCTCCTTACTCTCCTGTAATCTTACACAAGACCATATTCTGAGCTGTATTTTCTTACTTGAAAAAGGAGGAATCAGGAGTCAATATCTCCAAGGGCCATGCAAGCTCTATCTTGAGCGATGTGTGATTTGAGAATCTGGGCTTGATGGTTTGGGGCTCTCACTGGGACAATGCTAGCCTTCCACAACTCTCAGCTTCAAACTAGGACTGGGTGGGTGTGTGGTTGCAGTTCCAACATTCTGTGACTTTAAGATGCTGAGACTCTGAGAGCTGAAGATGCGGACATTCTGTGCAGCACCCAGGATTCTAGGATTTGATGATTTGATGATTCAGTGATTCTAAATGGGGCTGCTGGGAAGAGCTGCAGCCACCTGCCTTGTTAATGTCAATGTTCAGCTATTAAGAACATAACAAGAAGCAATGGAGACAGATAGCTTGGGATGGTGGGTGCCCCCAGGCCCACCCACCCCAGTGAGGGAGGGAAGGAAGGAGAGGCGCACTGATTTTAGAGGAGACTGAAGACCCATAAGACCCTTTCAACACTCTCCTGCCACAACAGAACTGGTGCATGTGTATGCAAAAGATATCCTTAAGCTTGCAGGTTTGGGGATTCGCTCTCTTCACCCCCCACCTCATTTCCCAATCACTTCAGACTTTGGCAGAGAGGAGCACCTTTCCTCCTGGCCCCCAAAGTCTCTGGCCAGAAGTGTGGACAGTAAAGGAAGGAGAGCTCTATTTGCCCCCCTTCCTGGGCAGCCCAGCCTGAGGGGAAAACAGGACATGAGCACTTCCTGAACACAGGCATGGAGATGCATGAACGCCTGCCTGAGAGGGCCCAGCACCATGAGCTCAGACAGGGACAGAGGCCAGAATGGGCAGAGAATCCTGTGAGCACCCCTTCATACAGGCTGAGGCGGGAAGACTCTGCTCTTTCCCTGAGAGTCAGGGGGCCTGAGGAGCTGATGGGGCCTCGCCTGTGTCACAAAGCCCTCAGCCCCAGCCTACCACAAGGCCAGTCCAGCTGTCCAGTATCTCTCTTGCCCCAGCACCCAGGCCAGAGTTGGGGAGGGACAGGGGTTCCAGGGGAGGATCCTGGCTTTCTAGATCCTTCTCAGTTGTGCCCTTAGAAGCCCAGCATGGATGCACACATCTGAGAGCTTCTGCAGCCTGTGAGGTCACATATCCTGGCTAGTCCAGGACACTGCACAGCAGGACCTGGAACAGGACTTTCTGATTCTCCAGGTGCCCCTTATTGCCCCAGCCTACCCATTTCTCCGGGACACCTGGGGAGCAGGAGTGGAGGCAGGGTGCTCCCCACCTGCCCAGCCTGCATGATGGGCTCTCCTCTCTCCACTCTGCTCCAGAGTCCTCCTGCTGTCCCACCCCTCCCTCTCAACTCTGCCTGGCCCTGGGCTCTCTCCCAATCCCTGGGCATCTCTATTTCTGGCTCTTTTGGAGTATAAGTCTCTCTTGAAAATAGTTAGACTTGGAAGGACCCTAACAGGTCACCAAGTCCAAACCTTTTCTTTGGGTGAGAAAACTTATTCAGAGAGGGGAAAGTCCTGGCCAGTCAAACAGTATCCTGTAGCAGAGCTTAATGCTGTGCCTCTTCCACCCCTGGATCATGATGTCCAGGGTTTGAGAACTGACTGGGAGGACCAGTACGGGGCTGAGCACACAAGCACTTCCTGAAGCATGTGGGGCTCTTTCCCAAGCCCTTCCTCCCAGCCCTGAGCTACTGTCTCTTACTCTTCTTCACCCAGACCCCTCTCTTCTCTACCATCCCCACTGCCTGGCTGACCCCTACCTTGGGCAGACCCTGCTTTTGGGATTGAGAGCAGAGCTCAAGGCTCTTGGCTGTAGTGCACACATGTACACAGACGCACAGATACATGCAGGTATGTCCTGAGTATACACCAGTTCTGGGTGAAATCCTAATCCCACAGTTTGGAGGCTACTGTGGAACCTAGCATCCTCCCTTTCCTGTGAGTCTCCCACACCTCCCCCAGGAATCCCCTCAGGACTGCCACCGGCCTTCTCCGTCCCACTAGCTTCTTTGTGACATCTGAGCTCTATGAGCCTTGGTTCTTCCTTTGTGACCCTGAGGGCAGGTCTTTCTCCCTGTCAGTCCTTGAGCCCCCCTTCAGTGTCTTTATGAGGGTTCAGCTTTCTGGGCCAGGGTGGGGAGAGCTTTGAGGTCCCCAGAGGACAGCAGGACAATAGTGAGGCGGTGACAGATGAAACGTTGCATTTTCCCCAAAGCAGGCTCCACCTACCCCATCTCCCTGCCTGGTGTCTTGGGCACAGGTGAGTGGGCCACTTAGGCTCCTAGTCTGACCCCTTTGACCATGGGGCAGAGGTCAGAGAACCAGAAGCCCTGATCCCCTCCCCCCATCAGTTCTCTAACTGTACACCATTGGAGCCCAGGGCACCAGAGCACCAGCTGCAAACTGGCATCAGTGCAGATTCCCAGGGCATCTAGGGCTGGGTGTGAACTGAGCTTTGTGGCTGCAGTAGGGGGAGAGGGGTGGGAGAGTGGTCCACCCTGAGGCTGGGTCGGGGTAGTGGAGCAGACCCCACCTCCTATTAAGGGGAACCAGGAAGGGGCAGGCAGGAGCCTAGTGGCCCTGGGCAATGCTGTGTCCGTCCAGGAGTGGTCAAAGGCCTGGGAGCAGCTGGAGAATCAAGTGCAACCAGCACTGCCTCCTCTCTGGGGCTGGGAGGAAGGGGCTGCTGGGAAGCACAATCCATAGACATCAGGAAGAGAAGGCTCACGCCTTGTGGACAAAAGGAGTCAGGCGCTTAGCTCAGACCTCGTCATTTCCTCTGCCGGACATAGCAGGGTTAGTGGGGTCATCACACAGAGGGAAGCAATGGGCCGGAGCCAGTGCACGTCAGGCCCTGCAGCAATCAGGCACATGGGTGACCCCGTCACACCCTAGGGGACAGTCAGCCCCCTGTGGAGGTCCAGCCACACTACCATGGCCACCCCAGCAGATGACCACTCCTAGATCATCACCCCACACTGTCAACCTGGGCAACAGTCAGACCCAGTAGCAGACACAGTTAAGCAGGGAGAGCTGGCAAGACACAGGGATGTGTGAAACAACCAGACACTCTGCCACAGACACTCCAAAGCAGCCACACACCAGGTGCAGTACTGTCACCTCTCGGGTCACCCAAAGAGCCAGGGAGTCCAGCAGGTGAGCAGGTGTTCAGTGCCTGGGTGAGAAGAGGGTGACAGCAGGCAGAAAACCCAGAAGCCCCCTCCTCATGCCAGAGCGCCCGAGGCTGTTTATTTCCTAGCAGGGATGGGTGTCTCATTCCCCTCCTGCTCCCTGTCCCCACCACATGCTTCCGAAGCTGCCAAATCAAATCAGCCCCTGCACTCGCGCCAGGCTGGCATGGCGGCCAGCAGC